ATCACTCTGGTCCAGGCTGGTCTCAAACCTGTGAGCTCAGGCAGTCCACCCATCATGAGCCACCATGCCCAGCCTCTTTCAGATGATTCTGCATGTTAAATTGTGTTACATGTATACAATCATGAATAAGCATAATCTTACTATCCAGCAGTTCTTCAGATATTGCTGACTACGGTAAATGGTAAACAAGGAGGGAACACAGTACTTTTTCTATTTGGGGAGGGGAAAAAATGGGTTAACCAGAAATACTATATACATTGGTTTGCTTTGCCACTATTCCCTTGAATTGAAATTTTTTTGGACATTACAAAGCTGGGAAAGTAGTTTTCCCTAATTTGTTACGGGAGGAATGGCTGGAATAGCTTTAGTTTTGTTACTCTCTTCTTGCTGAGGTTTTTGTTTTCTTGTGTTTCGAATAGCTACTGTTTTGGTTTTACAGACTCCTACTGCCAAGGCTGCTAGTAAAAAGAAAAAGGAAAAAGCTAAAGTCCCTGAAAGATATTGGCAGTTTTTTTTTTTTTAAAACATACAGTTAATCACTTAAGAATTTATTCATCATTAGTCATGGTAGTGTTTAGTAAAATAATTTACATCAAAGTTAGTTTTCCTGCTGGAGTTTTTCTTAATAAAAAGATTGAGAGTTGGGGTGCGAAATGTACTTCTTGTTTTTCTAGAGTGTAATAATAGAAGTTTCTCATTTGGGAAATATTTCATCACCTATTGCTTCTGGCTGAAGGAGAAGAGATGTCACTTATAGACAAGACTAAAAGGTGTCAGTGAAAGGTTAACATCTGAGGACAGTATCCCTGTAATATGTAACATGGTGATTAGAACATTGAAAATAATGCAAGTGAAAAATGAATAAAGAAGCTTCAAAGAGGAAGAAGTGCTACAAGGCAGGCTTAGCAATATGTGAGGCACAGACAGAAGAAAATGTACAGGATGGGAAACTGGGAGAGGAGCAGAATTGGTGGGGAACAAATGGGGAACAGTTAAATAGGTGTAACTGACATGACCTACTGGTGTCTATAGCATGTGTTGTTTATCTCAAGAGTTTGATATTCAGGTCTTAAAGTACAAACAGTAGATTTGATGTTCCTCCTCCAAGCTGTCGCCCTGGGTAGAGTACTGTTGCGTCACAGCTCACAGCAACCTCCAACTCTTGGGCTTAAGCGATTCTCTTGCCTTAGCCTCCCAAGTAGCTGGGATTACAGGCACCCACCAGAACGCCTGGCTGTTTTTTGGTTGTAGTTGTCATTGTTTGGTGGGCCCAGGCTGGATTTGAACCCACCACTTCCAGTATGTGGCTGGCGCCTTAGCCGCTTGAGCTACAGGCGTCAAGCCGATGTTCCTCATCTTTTAAGACGCTCTTCTACCCCCAAGTTTTGCAGTACTACCTTTTGATGTCACATTGCCAGATAAAATACTGTGTTTGTCAGAAAAAAATGTAATTGTAAGGTTTATCACCTTTTTCTGATTATAAGAGTAATTTTGTTTTAAACTAGTTTTTTTTTTAATTTTTATTTTTTGGAGACAAAGTGTTACTCTGTCACCCTGGTACAGCTCACAGCAACCTCCAACTCAACCTTCCTAATTCTGTGACCCTTTAACCTGTAATGGTTGGGGGAGACCACAACATGAGGAACTGTATTAAAGGGTGGTGGCATTAGGAAGATTGAAAACCACTGGCTTAAGCAATTCTCTAGTCTCACCCTCCCAAGTAGCTGGGACTACAGGCACTCACCACAATGCCTGGCTATTTATTTATTTACTTATTGCAGTTTTTGGCCCGGGCTGAGTTTGAACCCACCACCTCAGGTATATGGGACCTGCACTCTACTCCTTTGAGCCACAGGCACCGCCAATTGTTGTCGTTGTTTGGCAGGCCTGGCCTGGGTTTGAACCTGCCAGCTCCAGTGTATGTGGCTGGTGCCATAGCGGCTGAGCAACAGGTACCCAAGCCATATAAAAGTAATTTTTAAATAAATGAAAAAAGGAAGTCCATTTTTGAATGAGATTTCAAATGGGCTAGCTTAGGAAATTGTTAATTTAACACTGTTAATTAGCATTTATTTTCTGTATCCTTTAGGGAAAGATTTGTTGTCTAATAGTTGAAAATATGCTAGAGACCAGAATCCCCGTTCAGAATGAAAAATCATTTTGTGGGGATTTAAGTAAAATAATGACATTTCTTTTTCTTTAGATCATTGGAGCATATTTAGTTTTTAAGTTGTATCCTTTTTTTTTCCCTTAGCTTGATCGACAGTTACACAGAATATTGTTGTATCTTTTTTTTGAGACAGAGTCTCACTTTGTTGCCCTTGCCTGTGAGTCACAGCTCACAGCAACCTCAAATTCCTGGGCTTAAGCAATTCTCTTGCCTTAGTCTCTTTTGAATAGCTGAGACTACAGGCTCCTGCCACGACACCTGGCTGTGCATTTTTTTTTTTTTGCAGTTTTTGGCAGGGGCTGGGTTTAA